GGGAACCTGCAATCTTTCAATTACAATTTCAATTACATGCTGTTCCTGTCACAATTGCTCAATGGTTAGGGAAGCTCACTTGTAATTGAAAGATTGCAGGTTCCCTAACCAGCAAGGCACCACTGAGGTACCCGGAACAAGGTACCACCCCCAAGCACTGCTCCCCAGGTGCTGAATTAGCTGCCCTCTGCTATGTGGCAATGTCACCCATGGGTTAAATGCAGAGGACACATTTTGCTGTGGTGTGTCAACAATGACCATCGATCACTAAATATCAGTGACTAAAGGTATTCTGAATAAGGTAAACATTTTGAATACCATACAATACTGAATACATTCCGGACTGTGTATTCAGCATTCAGACACTACATGCTTATTCATAGTATTCTACCCAAACCGGCGTGACCCTCAACCCTCACACTTACACAGACAAGTAACAATAAAAGTGACAGTGTCATAAACTCACTTTTCACTGTGAACATAGACGTGTTTTTATCCATCATCCCTCTGCTGTCCAGACCCACACACAAGTCAGAATTAATGGGATTAGACCAATCAGGGCTCAGTCCCACACACACAGAACCCGGAATCGAACCATGAGTGTGAGGCTACAGTACTGCCCACTGTGTCACAACACCTCTGGGAACCAGCAGAGGGCTCTCACAGTCTCTCCTCCCTGCACCACTCAGATCACGCCAGACTGGTTCCACTGGCTCCTATCAATGCAGCTGTCTATAGTTCCCTCCTTTCCCCTCTGCCTGTTTAAGCCCCAGCAGTTCTTATTTTGATGTTGAACCCCTGGCCTGTGTTTCCCTACCTGTGCTAGTCCTTGCTCTCTCTGTTTGCACCTGGTTCTGCTGTGTCCCGTTTGCCCTGTCCATGCTGTTCCTGTCACATACCCTGCTTTTACCCTTATTAAACCCTGTTCCCATCCTTCCTCGCCTCTGGATTTCTGCCTCCTTTTCTGCCCCCCCTTACACCCAGTCGTGACACACTGAGCCTCCACACAACAGAAGTTATTAAATGTGTTAGAAACACCCACCTCCATTTACACACAAAATAAGTATGAAAATGCAGGGAGACTCACCTAATTTAATTGTGTTGTTCATCCAGGCAAGGATTTGGGAATAAATAGCAAGGAACAGCATGGTAAACAGGCTGGGATCATCTGTAAGGCAAACAGAACAAATCAGACACCCTCATTCTCTCATCAGTCTATACAGAAATAACATGATATTAAATAACAAAGTGTCCTTGGGCTTGTCTTCCCCTGAGATAAATCCTGCCGTCCCCAGGGCCCGACTGCACTGTGACGTCATGCACATTAAGGCCCATGATCCGAGGGCAGTGGGGGTCAAAATACAGGCCAAGGAGTCTAATGCCCCTGTGAGTCAGAGGGTCCCTCAAAACCCTGTGTCGTGATGAAGGTGGGAGCCGGCATGTGTCGGCTGGGGGGGATTCTGCGCCCCCCAGCCCGTACACCCTACATGTCACCCTACATCAGGTCCACACAATAACATCCTACTGGGTAAAATGTCAGGTGCCAAGGGTACAAGTGTAATCTGTCAAACACTAGAACGTGCAAACTCCACACAAAGAGAAGAGGTGAGACTCGAACCCCCAGCCCTGGAGTTAAGAAGCAGCAGTGCTGCCCACTGGGCCTATGTGCCACGGAAAATGAAAGAGCTCTAAACCTCATTCTGGTCAGAATTCTTAATATGCCGATGGACATAAATGTTAATATGAACAAATAAACCCACATAAATATACTTACACAGGAAATCACCCATGATTTCAAGAATATCTCCAAGTCGTACTGTTCTTCCCATCCTTCTGGAGCGTATTATCCAAAACACACTGACAGCAGCTGAAATAAGGGAAAATAAGTTTCAGTCACCAAACACAGAGTGAAAAAACAGAAGTGATCAGGGGTCCTGTGTTTAAAACTCTGCACAGAACTGTCACCTGGGGGTTCTGAGTTTAAATCCCATATTGGACACTGCACTATAAGTGCACAGCAGATTTAGATGGGTTATGAAAGGGTGTTTCAGTTGGGTATTGTATCATAATTCCCTAATTATGCACATATTAATTATGGAAAGCACACTTTTAAATATCAACATCATTTCAATGCTGAAGTTTAACGTTTGGGTGTTTAATTCACTACAATGTAGCAAATAAATAGCTCTATACCAAGTTCTGCCCCAGTGTTCCTGACACTCCAAAGTCGAAAACAAATTTTAAATACAGACTTTACAAAACCTGAAAACATACTTACCTGGGAATAAAACCATGATGACTAGGAAAGTGGAAAATGTTGCAAGTTGTTCTTTCCAGGCTAGAGCTGAGTATTTTGCCAGATAAACACTGACAGCAACTAAAAGTAAGAATAGAGTCAGTCACCATGAAATTCTTGTCAGAAAGAGTACAAAAACAGATGTGTTCACTGGTCCTGCACAAGCCTGTCACCTGGGGGGTCTGGGTTTGAATCCCTTATTGAATATTGTGGTATGAAAAGTACATCCCAGAGTGTTTGACTTGGTCATTTGATCATACATCCCTAGATGTACATATTAATTGTGAAAAAATCATTTAACAATCCATGTTGTAAATTTCTGAAATCCACACAGCCAAAAGAAACTAAATTAACATTTACATTATCCATCCATCCATCCATCCATCTATCCATAACCATTTCTCATGTAGAGTTCCATAGTGAGACTAAGGAGCCCAGAGCAGGGTACCCCCTGGTGGAGTGCCAGTCCATCACAGGGCACATCCACTCACACACAATAGGTTATTTTAGACCCCATTTTACCTAACTGCATGTTTTGTATGTGTTTCCAGATTCTTTAGCCTGTTTCACACTATTTATATGCACGAGTGACAGTGCATATAATTATTATATAATTATCACTGTTAGCGACAGATTTTTTTCTGTAGTTCTGAGCAACACTGGTTACTATGTGCTCAATTTTTTTCTTGTACTTTCACAACGTAAGTAATGTAAATGAAATAAGTAATCAAACCTAAAACTCCAATGATCCTTTACTTCAATAAGCTTACATGGTAGTGAAGAGCAGTATGCTAGACATCCGGTCCATAAAAACAGTGCAGTGACAGGTAGCTTATAGCTAATATATTGTATCATTCATGTACAAAATCATGTTTTATCCTGTAAGAAATGTGACTTGGGTGAGACTTAGGTCACACACCTAGGCCAGTCTAATACACAGCTAGATTATCATGGTTAAAGAAATAAGCCTGAGGCTCATCATGTGTTAAGTTTATTTTATGGTGTCTTTGTTATTGTTTTTGTGTTTTTAGTCTTCTGAGTTGGAGGAGGTTGATTTAGTGATTCACAGAGAGAGACTGACAGGGACAGTTACACTAGGAGAGGCCATATTCAAGTGGGAATAAAAAGTTCTGCCAAAACACTCTTTGGAGGCAAACAGGAAGCTGCATGTGCTAGGACAATGCTTATAATGGGGCCATTAAGAGCAGACGTGTCAGTGATTGCCTGATAGCCCACATTATATGCGAGCTGGGCTGCTCCTCAGCACGTTGGGTGCCGTGGAGACTGCGGTTGGTATGTGTTTTTTTTAAGTGATTTAAATTTTCATTGAACAATCATTAACATAGAAGGAAACACAACAGACACCCCTCCCCCTGCCAATTTGGGAAGGAGCCCAACAGTTTTTGACCCTTCTTACATGTGTGAAGGGCCTAGGAGATAATAGGACAGGGGGGTGTCAGGGAGGAGTGACCCAGCTCCAAATTGGCCTTAGGGTGAGAGNCAAATAAATAGCTCTATACCAAGTTCTGCCCCAGTGTTCCTGACGCTCCAAAGTCGAAAACAAATTTTAAATACAGACTTTACAAAACCTGAAAACATACTTACCTGGGAATAAAACCATGATGACTAGGAAAGTGGAAAATGTTGCAAGTTGTTCTTTCCAGGCTAGAGCTGAGTATTTTGCCAGATAAACACTGACAGCAACTAAAAGTAAGAATAGAGTCAGTCACCATGAAATTCTTGTCAGAAAGAGTACAAAAACAGATGTGTTCACTGGTCCTGCACAAGCCTGTCACCTGGGGGGTCTGGGTTTGAATCCCTTATTGAATATTGTGGTATGAAAAGTACATCCCAGAGTGTTTGACTTGGTCATTTGATCATACATCCCTAGATGTACATATTAATTGTGAAAAAATCATTTAACAATCCATGTTGTAAATTTCTGAAATCCACACAGCCAAAAGAAACTAAATTAACATTTACATTATCCATCCATCCATCCATCCATCTATCCATAACCATTTCTCATGTAGAGTTCCATAGTGAGACTAAGGAGCCCAGAGCAGGGTACCCCCTGGTGGAGTGCCAGTCCATCACAGGGCACATCCACTCACACACAATAGGTTATTTTAGACCCCATTTTACCTAACTGCATGTTTTGTATGTGTTTCCAGATTCTTTAGCCTGTTTCACACTATTTATATGCACGAGTGACAGTGCATATAATTATTATATAATTATCACTGTTAGCGACAGATTTTTTTCTGTAGTTCTGAGCAACACTGGTTACTATGTGCTCAATTTTTTTCTTGTACTTTCACAACGTAAGTAATGTAAATGAAATAAGTAATCAAACCTAAAACTCCAATGATCCTTTACTTCAATAAGCTTACATGGTAGTGAAGAGCAGTATGCTAGACATCCGGTCCATAAAAACAGTGCAGTGACAGGTAGCTTATAGCTAATATATTGTATCATTCATGTACAAAATCACGTTTTATCCTGTAAGAAATGTGACTTGGGTGAGACTTAGGTCACACACCTAGGCCAGTCTAATACACAGCTAGATTATCATGGTTAAAGAAAGAAGCCTGAGGAATCAGAGACAGAACAAGCAGCAAACAGGACAGAAGGAGCGACAGGGTCTGTGACTGTAGGTGGGCATGTAGCTACTGTAGCAATCAGCCAGGAGCAGCTCATCATGTGTTACGTTTATTTTATGGTGTCTTTGCTATTGTTTTTGTGTTTTTAGTCTTCTGAGTTGGAGGAGGTTGATTTAGTGATTCCCAGAGAGAGACTGACAGGGACAGTTACACTAGGAGAGGCCATATTCAAGTGGGAATAGAAAGTTCTGTCAAAACACTCTTTGGAGGCAAACAGGAAGCTGCATGTGGTAGGACGATGCTTAATGGGGCCATTAATGGGGGGGGGGGCATATTTACCCATCAGTGGTGTCTCCTTTAAGAGCAGACGTGTCAGTGATTGCCTGATAGCCCACATTATATGCGAGCTGGGCTGCTCCTCAGCACGTTGGGTGCCGTGGAGACTGCGGTTGGTATGTGTTTTTTTTAAGTGATTTAAATTTTCATTGAACAATCATTAACATAGAAGGAAACACAACAGACACCCCCCGCCAATTTTGGAAGGAGCCCAACAGTTTTTGACCCTTCTTACATGTGTGAAGGGCCTAGGAGATAATAGGACAGGGGGGTGTCAGGGAGGAGTGACCCAGCTCCAAATTGGCCTTAGGGTGAGAGCATGGTGGTACATTTCGAAATCTGGGAGGGTGACAGCCCCGTCTAACCGGTCACGAAATATAGTAGATATGTCTACTATATAGTAGTATGTTGAACAAGAGGGTCTCATACAATCCCTAAGAAATGTAGAAATCCAGAACATGGTGAAAAACGGCAGCTGCAAGCTCTAGGATGGAGGGGTAGATGTCCAAGCCCAGGTATCTGAAAGACCTCGCATGGAATTGATGAAGGAAATGTAAAGTGACAGGCAGAATTCAGTGGAAGAAGAGATTAATCTTATAGCCAGACAGGAATTCAAATATGTGAGACAGATTAAGGTGATAAGGAAGATCAGCTGCGACATTGCCAAGATAAAGGATCGTCAGCATATAAGGAGACTTTCTGAGGAACACCTTTAACCAGGATAGGACACATAAGATCTGATTGACGGATAGCTGTAGCTAGGGGCTCTAATGAGAGTTTAAAGAGTAAAGGGGATAATAGACAGCCCTGCCTGGCCCCTCGAAGGGGCAGAAAAGGAGGAGAGGTGTTGGCATTAGTCTGGAGGAGTGAGGAGGGGGAGGAGTAAAGGGTCTGGAGCATGTTGGAAAAATAAGAGCCAAAGCCCATTCTGTCCTGGACCCTCCACAAAAATGACCAATTCATGCTATCAAAAGCCTTCTCTGCATCTAAGAAGAGAAGGGCAGCAGGGAAGAGAAAGGAAGGAGCAGCATGATGTACATACAGCAGGCAGCACATGTTGTCGATTGCATGATGGGACTTAAAGCCAGTTTGGTCTGGGTGAATCAATTTACAAATTACCGCCTGCAGCCATCGAGCAAGAACCTTTGCAAGTAGCTTGACATCAGAGTTTATCAGGGACAACAGGTGGTAGCGGAACAGTCTGCAGGATCTTTACTTTGTTTAAACAGTAAAGGGGGCGGTCATGTGACGTTGTACAAGATGGCTGCTTAGGGTCTTGCTCGGCTTCTAACTATTCTGTATCTCCACCATTTAATCTTTAAATTGTTATTATAACAGCTTGGAATATATTTGAACTATGTCAAAGCCCTGACGGGATAAGGATTTTCCGATTTTATTCCTCAACCCGTTGTCATACTGACAAGAAAAAATTGGCCCAAAAAATGTGAAAATATTGGGGTTGGCAGAAGGAGCGGAAATCGGCGGTTCGTTAGCGGACATAATGAAGAAGATGATCCCTTCCTGGAAGTCTTCACCCCGACTTCCTGCCATTAGATATCGAACGGGCACACAGACCTCTTGCCCCCAAACTGGCGCCTAATGCCCCTC